CACATACTTCTGCTGCGGCATGTGAGGTGGCTAGGGCATATCAGCCTCATGAATTCGACGCGTATACCGAAGCAACTCATGTATGGGCAATTTAGTACAGGGAAGTGACATGTGAGAGCACCGCACCTACGTTACCATGACATGATAATCGTGAGTTTATCACAATCTAATGTTGCTTTCATATGTTAGAAAGCGATGGCCGTTGACCGGCGCGAATGGCGTGATCTGGTCAAGAGAACGCTTGTTCAGGTACAGGAGAAAGCACTATTATATGCGGAGGAGAAACGCCGGGCACGGAAGCAACAGGCGGCAACTGAGTCTACCGGCTGGATGTCAAGCAAATGATGCTGTCACGAGCGCCTGATCCAAGCGGGCTTGGTAAGCCACCACGGTGGCCACCTTGAGCCAACATTCAAGACGACGAGTCAGCTGAATTTCCAAACATAATCAGCGCAGCAATTGCTAACTACGCCGTGTCCGCTTCCATCCGATTTACTGATGCAGGCCAGTAAGGCGGTTACTAAGGTACTTGTGCTGCATCATTGTTGTATTTGGTCTATATGTGTGCTTACGTGTTGAGATTTTTATATTTCTGGTGTTGCTTGTTACTTTACATCCCCAGCATGACTGCGCTTGATGTGCTTGTCGACAAGGTGCCTGTCTATCACCCTCCGTATCGCTTACATTGACTCTAGGAGAAATTTGATCCTTGCTGGGAGAAAGGAGTGCTTCATCCTCGTGCCCGTGCTTTGCCCAAACTGCGTGGTTTCATTCAGTGTGGAATGGGCTACAGCCTAGCCACCGCCCTGTGTACTTCTGATACGCATGATTCCCCACATAGATAGGAATGCTGCTGCTGCTGCTGCTGCTGCTGCTGCTGCTGCTGCTGCTGCTGCTGCTGCTGCTGCTGCTGCTGCTGCTGCTGCTGCTGCTGCTGCTGCTGCTGCTGCTGCTGCTGCTGCTGCTGCTGCTGCTGCTGCTGCTGCTGCTGCTGCTGCTGCTGCTGCTGCTGCTGCTGCTGCTGCTGCTGCTGCTGCTGCTGCTGCTGCTGCTGCTGCTGCTGCTGCTGCTGCTGCTGCTGCTGCTGCTGCTGCTGCTGCTGCTGCTGCTGCTGCTGCTGCTGCTGCTGCTGCTGCTGCTGCTGCTGCTGCTGCTGCTGCTGCTGCTGCTGCTGCTGCTGCTGCTGCTGCTGCTGCTGCTGCTGCTGCTGCTGCTGCTGCTGCTGCTGCTGCTGCTGCTGCTGCTGCTGCTGCTGCTGCTGCTGCTGCTGCTGCTGCTGCTGCTGCTGCTGCTGCTGCTGCTGCTGCTGCTGCTGCTGCTGCTGCTGCTGCTGCTGCTGCTGCTGCTGCTGCTGCTGCTGCTGCTGCTGCTGCTGCTGCTGCTGCTGCTGCTGCTGCTGCTGCTGCTGCTGCTGCTGCTGCTGCTGCTGCTGCTGCTGCTGCTGCTGCTGCTGCTGCTGCTGCTGCTGCTGCTGCTGCTGCTGCTGCTGCTGCTGCTGCTGCTGCTGCTGCTGCTGCTGCTGCTGCTGCTGCTGCTGCTGCTGCTGCTGCTGCTGCTGCTGCTGCTGCTGCTGCTGCTGCTGCTGCTGCTGCTGCTGCTGCTGCTGCTGCTGCTGCTGCTGCTGCTGCTGCTGCTGCTGCTGCTGCTGCTGCTGCTGCTGCTGCTGCTGCTGCTGCTGCTGCTGCTGCTGCTGCTGCTGCTGCTGCTGCTGCTGCTGCTGCTGCTGCTGCTGCTGCTGCTGCTGCTGCTGCTGCTGCTGCTGCTGCTGCTGCTGCTGCTGCTGCTGCTGCTGCTGCTGCTGCTGCTGCTGCTGCTGCTGCTGCTGCTGCTGCTGCTGCTGCTGCTGCTGCTGCTGCTGCTGCTGCTGCTGCTGCTGCTGCTGCTGCTGCTGCTGCTGCTGCTGCTGCTGCTGCTGCTGCTGCTGCTGCTGCTGCTGCTGCTGCTGCTGCTGCTGCTGCTGCTGCTGCTGCTGCTGCTGCTGCTGCTGCTGCTGCTGCTGCTGCTGCTGCTGCTGCTGCTGCTGCTGCTGCTGCTGCTGCTGCTGCTGCTGCTGCTGCTGCTGCTGCTGCTGCTGCTGCTGCTGCTGCTGCTGCTGCTGCTGCTGCTGCTGTGCATTTTGAAGCAGTGTGTGGATGGAGCTGTAAGTGGTGCAGCGCAACCCACTTATTGTTTCTTTGCAGGCTCAGACATCCTTTGGCTGTTCCTATGGAGGCCACAATGACAGGCAAATCCGTAACTGGATTCCGCTAGCCATACATATATATATATATATATATATGGTTGGCGGCATCCGGTTTCGGATTTGCCTGTCACTGTGGCAGGCCACAGGACGCCTGCGCCTACAGAGGGACCATGGATGACTTGCGCTGCACCACCCACAGCTCCAGCCACATACCCCATATCCAGTGTAAACCCGAAGGAATAAGACCGGGAGGCATGCGGATGGGAACCACGTTTCATCAACGGAGCAGGCCAACACTCCTTCACAGGCTAACACAAGCACACTGTATTTGGGGAGTCAACCGCACACAAGGCGGTGGCTGGACGGTAGTCCGCTCCACACTGAGTGCATGGAACCGCTCTTTGAGCCTAGCACGGCCACAAGAACCGTGCACCCCGTCCCCTCCAGCAACGACCAACTGTCTCCTGGAGCCAGTATGAACGATGTAGTGGGTAATAGACAGGTAGGCACCTTGTCAACATACACATCAAGCGCAACCATACCAGGGATATCAAACTACAGCCATTCAATTTAAACGACAAGATGAAATAAAATAAATCCAATAATGCATACAGATACGGTGGCATAACTCTTCGATAAATTACCATATGAAGTAAGTTGGTCAGCAACAAATCCGTGATAAGTAAGAAATGTCCACAAGTTACTTAAAATGCTACAAACGCAGCAAAATTACCGAAGATAAGCGCAATTAGTGTAAGCAACGTGGCCAGTTAATAGAGCATTATTCAGGGAGGCAGAACAAACCAAATAAAGCGGAATGAAATTTAGCCAGCTTAAAAAGACCTATTTTAAGTGTAAGTTGGTTTAGCCCAACTGCGGTGAAGAAGCATCAAGAATGCAACATCAGCCTCAGCATGGGGCACTATATATATATATATATATATATATATATATATATATATATATATATATATATATATATGTCCAATAAAGCTTTATGTGTCCAGTTGAGTACATTTTCAGCATTTTACAATATCGACAACAGATGAGCTAAACTTACTTTATCAGAAATAACCTCGTAGGAATGGATAATGGGACACTGTGTGTAAGTGTCACTTAAATAGACGATCAGTTTAAAAGAGCAACAGTTGAACAGTTCCAGACAAAATAATTTCAAACCAGCGTTGCAAGCTAGACTTTCAGTCGGGACCGTCCATATTCACGTGCACGGTATCTTGAATTTTTCTCAAAGATAACGCAGAGAACCGCAGCGGTGACCTTGAAACTAACTTGACGGATATCTATGTTGAAATATCCTGAGCAAATGAATGTATCCATCTCGATATTGTAAAAACGATGTCTAGTGACAACAGCACGGCCAATTTAAAAGCCCAAAAGCTCATATGTATATATATATATATATATATATATATATATATAATCTGCTTAGCCTTCTCATTGTTTTCTGCGTGATACGTCACCCACTTGCGGTGTGCAAGCTGACTTTGTTTGTGCACCCGAACTTCTTCATTTTGGCTGCCTTTAATGTGTACACTTTCTGCACCTGTACAGTTCAGACAAACACGGTTCCTTCATGACACCACAGTCTAAGAGAACAAGTGATTCACGGGATTTGTGCACTCATCACTGTGTGGGGCTAAAGGCCTTGGGGAATGTATTGGGTATTCGCATTAGCGAAATTCTGTTTTTGTTCCCATCTGGACGTCATTTGTTTGCTGTCCGATGATCAGCGGTTCCACGGTTCCATACTTTTTGACACATGGTCGACGAATGTAAAAAACACAAAATCGTGCACAACATTTGTCCGTCTTTCTTTGTTTACCATGCTTTGCACTGCAGACAAAACACACTTGGCTGTTGTAATGTGTTGTCCACAATTGTCTGGTGCGCCATAATCGCGTTTATACTCAGTTCGTGCATTTGTTTCCACTATTATGTGACCGTTGGACGACTAGGCAGATCTAATGCGGCTAGTGACTGTTTGTGCTTGACTTAGAATGGCGCACCCAGTCATTCCTCTGGACTGACTCACCGGCGGTTTTGGGGATTTTCTACATCGGTCTCGTCACTGCATTCGGTTTCCATTGCTTTTTCCTCCACAGCCATCCCATCTGTGTTGTATGCAAAAGATGTCAGTTGCACACACACAGTCTGTTTCGCTGCCGTACGGCCATTCTGCGTGGGCGTGCAATCGCAATGGCGCCCAAACCTGTGCAGGAGATTGAGCGTATTGGTTACACTATAGCACCCGAACCACGGTGTCACGCTTCCCCCCATGTGATCTGATGACGAGCCTAACTAGTAGTGGCGGATGGAAATTCGAAAATGTCAGACGGGCAAATTGTCGGGGGGGGGGTCAGTTGCGTCAACAGATAACCAACATCGCATTGCATTTTTGCAATTGGCGAGTGGTTTGCCCATTCTGGCGTCGAATGTGCTCACCTTCCCCTTGAACACGTGTAAATCCGGTTGGGCCGTACGGCCGACCAATAGGGTTGTGGTCACGGGTTAATACCGAATGAAACGAGGACCAATGACAATCCGCATTCCTATCGAAGTTTCAGTTTCCTGTACACCATTAATAACAGGTTTTCGATTTCGTCTAACATGACCCGTTCGGCATGCAACTTTAATATCCCCATAGGCAATATGTTATTCCATTCTCTTCCCCTTCTATCTACCGGTTTGATGGCTTAAGTAGGATTGGCCTTCTAGTGTTACCTATATCTGAATCGGCTGTAAATTTTCATCTTTGTCGCCCTTTCCAGCCCAGCTTCTTTTCTTCATCTTTACCAAGGTTACAGCCTGTCACTCTTCTCCGAAACTTTATCCAAACGTCGTCCATCATGCTTTGAAGGGCAGAGCCAAGTCTGGCCCCCGGACTTGCTGTAACCAAACGGTGGTTCACTTCGATCCTACAGCCACTGTGAAAGTGTCCTCTTCACCCGCCCACCTTCACCAGCCAGCTGCTCCGACCCCTGCAAATAAGAATGTCTGGGAACCAAAATCATCGTTGACGTCACAAGGGAATGGGATTAGTCATTCAATTACTGTGGCCTCAACTTCGGCTCCTCTACCCTTCTCCGGGTCGACCGCTTCGCTTCGTTCACGTTTTAAACTGCAGAAGTCCACGAAGAAGAACCCTTTAGACCGAAGTAAGTATATTTGGCACAGTAATGCATTCATTACACACCTGTCCGACTTGCTTTCTTGTTCGTCCGGTTGGTGTCAGTTACTCACAAGGTTACTCTAAGAACTGAACTGGCAAGCGTCCTCTTCAGAGCAACGTGGCTTAAACGTCATCTTTTTATGGTGGCGGCACCAGAAGACGATTTGCCTTGGTCTGAAAAGCCGCCTACACAAGCTCAAAACGAGTTCACTCCTATGGTGGGGAGACGTAACTCCCCGAATCGTCTTTGATCCTCGTTGTCTGCGGAGCACTGCTGGCGTCGGATGGCACCAACATTACGCAACGACTTTGTATGCGTTTCAATCCAACGACACAACGTGTACTCAAAAATGGCCCTCTAATTAGTCATTCGCCGTTGTGCCAAGCGTTGCCCGCCGTGACCCGGTAGCCAAAGGGGTAGAGATTTCGGCTACTATTCCAATGGTCGCGGGATCGAGACCTGCTGTCTCCACCTGATGAGATGAAATTACATCGAAACGCGTCGTGGTTGTGCAGTGTTTTCGGGCGGTCAACACCCAATTTCCATCTGTTTCGGCTACGGTCCCAGTGATCGCAGTGACCAAGGTTCACTTCAATGTGAATCGCGGTCCACATTGAGATTGCGCGTCGCAATCCAGTCACACAACGTCTACTCCAAAATGGCCCTCCAAACAAATAACATTGAATAATAGATCGTATTAGCTTGGGCATGTATTTTACTTATGCTCTATCACCACTTACCGAAAGGTGCTTTGTTTCTTTACCTCATGTCAGATACCTTTGCGCTCTAGGTGGGCAAAAGTTCACTTGGCAGTGGGCAATGTGATCAGTGACTACTAGGTGCTGTTGGTCCGTCTCTGAAATCCGTGCAGCCCACCTTGTGCATGGTTCGTACGGGGTACCAACAGCGCGCAAGCTGTTTTATATGGAAGATGTGCAGTTGAAATGTAATGGACAGTGTATTTATTTGCAGATGCGAGCACAATTAGCTTCAAAGTCACTCTTTGTTATCAAGACAAACTGAGGCACCAATACCACACAGTCAGCAACTACAGAAACTGGCTGGCATACGCTATGTGACAACCGGCCCACCCGCAGTGATTTAGCGCAATTTGCGACATCTCCAGGCAATGTGTAGTGGGATCAATCGCACATCACTTAAATGGACAGCTGACACTACGTAATCGTCAGACCATCAGCCTGTGAGCAAATTTACGCATCGTTAAACAGATTCTTGATTGAAGTTAGGCTTAACTATTCGTGCTTTCGTCGGACTATACCATTATTGGTTAGAATTTGATGCGAAGACCTGCGAAAATGATGTTTTTCGATTGACTTTGCCGTTAAGTCTCCGAAACCCAGATAGCCTGTGCTGCATTTCCCTGGCACCGCTGTTCAACTTTGATTCTATATCCAGCTATGAAATTATGATTCCCGAGTCATTACCACACATATTCAACATCCATGTGTCATCTATACATGCCCTTTGTTAGCCCCTGTGTTGGTGCGTGATCAACTTCTGTTTTCATGGGTAATCTAAGTTCTGTTAGACCTTGCTTGTTCTCATCGTTTCCGCTGCCGCAGTCGTTTTTCTCACCTCCGGATTGGATTCTCGAGTTCATTTTACCAAATTCTAAGAACTGCACCGAACCTCTTATTACTTTCGCTACAATAACAAACCCCTTTCATTTTGGTGAATTGTGAAGCTACTGACATTTATTTGTTTTTACCATCAGTACACTCAGTTCCACCCTATCTATTCAAGTATTATTTCATCTAACTAGTGAACTGATCGAATCCACACTTGAAGCAAAACTCGATTGTCGTTCATCGCTTTTGTTCTGTGCTGTTGATACACTCACTCGCTGTCCACCATTCGATTTGCTACTCTTAAACTAATATGATTTGTTTACCCTTCCCACGTTATCTTGCTTCTCTCTTGTGTATCGTCAATCATGATGGATCAATCGCAACGGGAGCACTTGAGTCCACCGATGGTTTCGCCACTGCAATATGTGTGCCACCAATGTTTCCCACTCTCGTTTCCCACCTTTGCCTGCTGTTTTTCACCCAGCCACATGACTAAGCCTTCTTTTGACGACGTTGTGTGTCAATAACCACCTCATTTGGCACACTTGGGTTCTCTCTCTCGCTGTTGTTTACGGCACACCACTCTCTGCGGAACTCAATCTATTGTCATACAACCATTTCCCTTCAAAAATTTTAACAGAGCAAAAACAACGAACATTTCTGAGGAATAATCTGAATTCAGTATACTTTCTGTATTCTCTTCAACCGCTTTACATACAATGGGTGAAAATTCCAAATGATTGGGAGTGATAGGTCAATATACCAGAAATTGATGGTTAGTTGCGTTGGCTAGCCTGTTTTGCCTCACCAAGGCAAAGCAAGATTGGCCACAAACTCAAGTTGTTTATATAGGTTAGGCTTCAAACACCGGATTCCGGAAGCCTCAGCAAAACGCAACAACTTGGGGTTGCTCTATTAATGACCTTGTATGCTTCGTGGGGATTCCGGCACATCGAGCAGTCGTATAAGTGCCGGGCAACGGAGCTGGCAGGTAATGTTGCGCCACGGAGAGCAAGGTTCCGCTGAATGTGTTCTGAAATCCCAGTGACAAACTCCTCTCTGTCCGGCCAGTGTGCATGCTACCGCAAGTACAGTTAAACTGGTAAACACATGAGGCGGTGACCGTAGAGTGAGGCTTGTCCAAATTGCATTCATATAGTAGCTTTTTGCTCCTGTGGAGCAACACATGCTCAGCTGTATAGTAACATCTCTTTATGGTATGAGGTAAGCGACAGCAGAAACATCTGTCCTTTTCTTCCCCTTTGTAAGGCAGTGTAATGAATACCTTCTTCTTTGAAGCTTGAGTTCCATATTTGTGCGGCCTGGTTTTCTCCCCATATCTTGCAATGAATTTGACATGGTACCTATTTTCACGTAGGGTGCATGCCATACCATGTAGTTCTTCTTTAATCGTTTCCTCTGAACAGGTGCGGCGAGCTCCCACAAAAGATGCTTGAATCAGAGAGCGCTTGCAGCTCATAGGGCTGTACCTGTCAAAGTTTAGGTATTGCCCCGCCCAGCTCGGTTTGTGATAACTTGATCTTAGAAGCAACCCATCTGATCTTCTTTGCAAAGCTACGTCCAAGAAGTGGAATTTTCCTGATGTTTCGCTTTCCATGGGGAACTCGATCTCTGGATGACGTTCATCAAACGTTTTGAGCATGCGTTCTGCTTGCTGGGCTTCGTTCACCACCACAAAGGTATCATCATTATATCGAGCATGCAAGTGAGCTTCCTGTATAGGATGTTCTCTAGATGAGCTATGCAAATGTCAGCCAAAATGGAGCCGAGAGGACTGCCCATCACTACACCCTCAATCTACCGATAGAGACTTCCATTGAGACAAACTTGAACATCTGTTGTACGGATACGAATTAAATTCTTTAATCGATGTGGTGAAAACCCCACTCTAACTGCACAACTGCCTATGATGTTCAGCATCTCTTCCAACGGGACGTTTGTAGATAAAGAACACACGTCAAAAGACACCATTCACTTACCACTCACGTTTAAATTTCGGATCATCTCAACGAACTCAAATAAATCTTTCAAGCTGTGCACCGCTAACTCACGTCGGATATGCTCAATTAGCTTGGCTAACCATCGTGCCAATTTCTGGTGCGGTGCTCCAGCCATCGAAAAGATCGGGCGTAATGGAACCCCTTCTTTATGCACTTTCGGCAACCCATACATCCGAGGAAATCTGGAACCACGCGACCTTACTTGTGTCATGGTATTGGTATCGATCAATTCGTCTTTCTGCAAACTTCACAGATCGCAGGTTCTCATCTTTTCAACTCTTTCGGTTCTATCACGGCCTGTCAAATCTTTAACAAATCGACTTTCGTTCATGAGTATAGTTTGCACTTTCTGTAAGTAATCCTGTTTGTTCATCACAACGACTCCAGAACCTTTGTCAGTTCTCAGTATTAGTACATCCATTTCGACGCAACTGCGTCAAGGAATCAAGTTGATCTTTTATGATTATTCGACACTTTCCGGGCTTCGTAACGTAAAACTGATGGGCTATATCTACAGCTTTGGCCTTAAACCATCCAACGGCATTATCTGTCATCGGGGTCAGACTGGAAAGCTGCTCTTACAGATGTACAAACTGTACTTCAAGTTCTATTCGATCACACTTGCTGGTGGACCCCGCAGAGATCTTCGTCCTTCAATTTATGGTGATGGTTTCTCTCTCTTTCTCTTTGCGATCCCTTGCTACCTTGAAAATAAATTTGTCTTACGAACTGTACGGCAATACAATTAGCCTTGCCTTTCATTGTCTTGTTGAGCAACTAGAATAACGCACTCGTACCCACAAAATAAACACGAATGGCTTGCGCTTCACACCACTCCTGTTTTAGTTACTCTCTCTTTAGCCAGCCACAACCAGAAGCAATTAGAAGGATTGAGTTTCCTGTGTTAACATGAATAGCACAATAAGAAGACGAGTGTTGCAAGTTGCTGCTATTTCGTGCCCTCTGCTCAGTTGCAAACGGACAACATGTCAAATGCTAACGCGACAAAGAAGAAATCAATAAGTTGAAAGCTTGAGATCACACGCAATCAAAGCAAACCTTGGCTACAGGTTGAGGAGGAATTATTAACTCCAAGGAAGTTTGAGCCTAACGAACAGTTGCTTCTGGATGCACAATGTTGGAGAATGCTTTTTCATGACCACTGCCTCGGCAAACTTGAGAACTCTGGCGTTTGTGTTACGATAGATGACATTAAACGCCGAGTTGAGGTCCACCTGATGACCCGTTTCCATCAGATGTTTCGTAAATGAAGAAGCAGGTATGTTTTTCGTCGACACAGGTCCCGTTTGCGGCTGCCTTGTCAAGGTAACGATACGCTTCGGAATGTGCTCCCCAATCCGCTTACGTAAGCAAC